TGATTACTACAACATTACAAACCGGTAACATTAAAACCATCGAATAAATTACATTGCCTATTGAGATATGCGCTTACTTCGGTTAGTAATGATTTAATTCCAATTTTCTAAGAGTGTTCTTATGCATACGTAGGTCCGGCCACCGCTATGCTTATTGCTTTTAGTCAAGTACTGATCACCATCAGTAGCATGGGGACGATTAGAATGTTTGGCGTAATGCCGATGCCGCACTACTTGATTTTTCCAGGGAGCGCTTCAGGGGCGCTTATCATTACGTTAGTGCTGCTGCCCAGAGCGTCTTATTTGCATGATCAAAGCGTGAAATTGCTTCAATCTTGGGGAAAAGTTGCTTCTAGAGGTGCCGTGATGGAGAAGAGTTTGTTCTATAAACGGAATTTGGTTGAATATCGGGCCTGTTGCAAAGCCATATCTTCCCTTCGGCCGTATCAAATATATGCGAGCGTTGCTGGGGCGAAGTTATTCATGGCGAAGAGATCGACAAAGGCAACATTTTTCAATTGTTGTGCTGATGCGACGATCAGCGGATTGATGTCCTTCCCTGCCGAGGATTAAATCGTCGTGGAAGCTGCAAAATGGGTCACATCAGTCTTGGATTAATTCTGATAGGATAAAAAACTATTTTTAAGTTGGACATTTTGGGGAAAGGAAATGACATTCTGGGGTGATTGGATCCTACAGACTATTAAAAACTACAATGGTAAAAGAATTGTCAAAATCTGAGAAATAAGTTACCAGAATATTTCTACGTGTTCGTCCTAAATAGTTTTGATTTTACTAAATGTTTTAAAAGAATTGGTTGACTTAATTTAGCACAATTTATGCACATATCATACAAAAATGTATCTATTGTGACAAAAATGTAAGTATATTTTCGCAACTTTCTTACACATTATATATTTAATATGTAGATTGAAGTATTGTCAAACTTGAATTATGAATACCTAATCTAGAATACGTTCTATGGTGAAGGCAAATCTTTGTGTACAAAACTATATTTAGTAGCTAAAGTATTTACTTATCTAAATTTTCACCTACCTAAGTATTTCCCCGACAGAACGGTGTTGGCGTCCCAACACAATTCATGAACAATCTATTCTTGCTAAACATAAACTTTAGATATTCATTACTTTTACATAACTAAATTATTAAGCGAGGTACCTCACGAAATGAATTATATCCTGTACATGGAGCATATTTGCGCCAGTCCGTTTCCGATCTGAGAATTAGCATAAGTGTGTCATTTAATATTATCAATTCAATTCACTACTATACACATCACTTGTGTGATGATAAAAATGCTTATGGAAGATACCAAATTCATCAAACGCACCCTTATCTTCGGCTCGTATTATCGTTGTTTACCAGTAAAATGGGATTCCAATCAAGATACCATAGTCCTGAAAAGGTCGAAACAACAAAACGCGGTCCTGCTAAGTTTACTAATTCACGGTTTGGCCCTGATAAGTCGCATATTCGCCACTTTCAAGCACTCATCCAGCTTGCTTCAAAGGGCTCAAGCAGCCATTGCAATGGTGACTTACTTGATAAGTTTCCTCATCAGACTTGACCTGCCAATCGATCCTGTTACCGTGCACCTTGTAAATTATATGATTCGTCAACCAGCCGATAAATTTGGTAAATATGCATAAATTGCATAATCTTAGTTCAATATTTTGTGCATAATTGTTACCGTACACTGTTGAAAATCTGGTAGGGTCACATATATGTATACTCGGTACTACTGTTCAGTATTATTAGTCGCAAAAAATTCTGAAAGGTTACCTGGCGGATTATTTATTTTTCAATTAGCAACCAAATAACCTCTCAGAAATATATCTTACCATGTATTTTACAGACATTGTTACTCTGTACAGAAATAAGTGTATTTTATTAACAAATTATAAATACCTCTCAGAAAATTTTCCAAGAACTTGCGACTATTAATATTGGGTGAACAGTAGTACTCGTTACTAGTACTCTAGTATTGATTTGGTCGAAACTTCCTACCGGATTGGTAGTGAGTTGTCTCTCATCCTCAGTGGTAAATTTTTCATTACCATAACTTTTCTGACCCGCAAGGCACATTCTTACCGAACCAGTTGAGTTATGTGCCCCGGGCAGTAATGATTCGATACCAGTTTTCTGAGAATGTACTGGTACATAAGATAATATTTTAATAAACTTTAATATTTTTAAAATATTTTAAAATAAATTTAGGTCCCAAAATCTCAAAACTTCAATTGGGCATCAGATTCCTGTATGTTTCTACTGAAGCGACCAGTCTCTCAATTTCTGCAATAGTGGCTACTCTCACGTTCCTCAGCCCTTGTCAACCCATCCTGATAAGCTCCCATCTCTGTTCAGCGAATAATTTTTATAGTCTCCAAGGGAACATTGTAATCCAGTTATTAAGGGGTGAAAGCCCTTTATAAGATCGTTATGTCCGTCTGTCCGTCCGTCCGTCCGACCGTCTGTCCGTAGCTCCGATAACTTTTGAACGAAAAGACATAGACACTTGAAATTTTGAACGTAAACTCCTAACGTCAATAGAGAGGACGAGTTCGAAGATGGACACTGTGACATCGTCACCTGTGACGATGACATCGTCACGGTGACGAAAAGTGACGAAAAAGTGTCACTTGTCAGTTTTGACATGTGACACGTCATTTTTAACTATTTTTCAATGAGGAACTCGAAAATTCATGTCATTTTGCGGTTGGACGTCACCTGTGACGATGACATCGTCACGGTGACGAAAAGTGACGAAAAAGTGTCACTTGTCAGTTTTGACATGTGACACGTCATTTTTAACTATTTTTCAATGTCAAATTCAATGGTGACCTCCATTTTGACCTCAGAGGTCATGTAAAGGTCATAGGACATATCTATTTCAATTTCAACTGAAATTTAACCCCGAATCCAATGGTGACCTCCATTTTGACCTCAGAGGTCATATAAAGGTCACATAAGGGTTATCAACTGTTAAATTTGACACAAATAAGACACGAAAGTCGAAAACACGTCAGAAGTGTCAATCTTAACAAATTTTCGAACAATTTGATATTCACATTGACGTATGACACTCCTTTCACCCCTTGGTTACATGCGTTGTAACGGTTTATTTCTAGCGACATTTGAATTCCTGGTATTTCAACAAGCTAGGATCGGCACGGTTTACTACTTAATAACCGTGCTATCACAAGGCACCTCATTTTTATGGCTGGCATGCAATGCCTTCGTAAAAAATTGCAAATCCAATTATACCATTGTATCGGAATGTATTATGGAATATAAGAAATTACAGGTTTTCGAGAAACTGTTAAATTCTTGCACAAAATCGCGCATATTTCTCGTCACGGCGCTGGTAATGCCAGCTTTGCAAATTTTACTGTCTTACATGTCTATGCATTTATTTCGTTCAGGTGAAATCCACAAACTCCAAGCATTTTTCGTCCTCTGGGTGTATATTGTTATACTAGTATTTGCAATATTTTTGTTTTCGGCGACTGCACAAATAAATAATTTGAGCACGAATTGGATCTCAGAATGTGGGTGGAGATGCCAAACGAAATTGGAGAGGAGAATGCAAAAATCTTTAATGCCGTTGAGACTGGAGTTCGGTAATAATTTTGTGGAAGCCTTGACACCTCTTGTGGTCCAAGAGTTTTGTGTGAGACAAACAGCTTCATGTCTTCTTTTGACGATATAGACGTGGTCATAATTTTTTGGTCCCCCTTAAAAATTTTAAAATGATTTTGCCTTTCAAATGATCTTAAATTTCCATACTTATACATAGTTGATATCCATATATAATTTTTATCCACGATTTGAATGAATTTTTTTTCGTAAGTCATGTTTTTCGATCATTGTACTGAAATGGATATTTGATATGTATACATGTGTGTTAATCATTTCAAATAGCAAGGTAATTAAATATTAAGATGTGTCGTATTCTTGAACTTTGCCCGGTTTCGCACGCAAATTATTTGTCTAAACGTATGTAATATCGGGTTAATCCCCTGAATGAATTATTAACCAGGAACTTTAGTTGGCCATATTAATTAAATGTTTTACTGAATTTGAGTCATTATTACAATTAAATATGTTTAATTAAGTACAATTAGGTTTAAGTTAGGTTCTATTGTAAAATTATCATTGTAAAGTCATGAATGTAACATGAAAAACATATTTAATTATTTTCTAAGGCACAAATTCATATGCCACTCTACTGTAAATAATGAATAGACTTGTGGAAAACACCGCATGTTAAGCATGTACTTATTAAATTACTGGCACCAACAATTGAACATGACGCTGGGCTACGTACATACATACATAACCACGTCATAAATATAAATATAGATATTGAATATAAGAATTGATTAGCGTATAAATATGATAGGACCAAGTACATATGAATAATGGTTCGGTTAACATTGGGAGGGTTGTATTGAATTGGGGAAGTTTTCGGCTGGTGAATAAAAGATCTTTAATTGTTTTGTCGACTTACTTAAATATTTTAAACGAATTCTTCCGATCAATAAATCTTGACAGGGAAATCGTTCCACTATGCATACATACATAGGCATATGGACAAACTTTGCTCCATAAATCGATAGTCCCAGGTACAATTTGGCAGTTTAGTTTACGCTCTGCTGCTCCAACCATTACCTTTTTGCAGACTTATGCAATTCGTGATCCGTCCGTAATTCACATCTATTTAGTTGCCCAATACCAAATCTTGGAGTAAGTTCGAAGTTATTTTTTGCATATACTGTTAGAACCCTCGTAAAGTCAGACATATAGTTTCGTTAATTTCTTTACTCAATCTATTTTTAGTGTAAATCAGACAATAAATATAGTCATGAATAACAACTTGTGAGTCATCAATCAATCATATATTGATTTCTCCGTATTAGAGTTGCTACCGTTTGGTATTAAAATTATACTGGTGTGAGAAAATTTCCTATAAATGGTAAAACTTTAATATCTAGCTATTTAATTGCTAGAGTCTACCACTTGGAATTATTTTAATACTGGATTTCTAAGAGTGAATATTTTTTTGGTACATTACAAAAATTCATGATTCGTAATATTCATCTAAGATATGGATCGCTACAAAATATTGGCGACATCCCCTCAGCTGGAAGACTTCTTCACCGTCCCCCTAAATTCTTGCAGGGAGCCGATTCATCAATTATTCAATCTTGACAATAAACCTGTCACACTTTTCATCAATCCTGCCGAACTGGCAAATATTGACAAATTTGAGGCAACCTTGAGAAAATGCCCTAAACTGGTGTCTCTCCAAATCGAGGCTGATCTGGACGATGAGGCTTCGAAAAAATTCGGTTGGAACAATTATGGACGGATCATCTCCCTCGTGACGAAATATTGTGGGCCTAGACTGCAATGTTTCTCCTTGAGGATTTCCAGATCAACGAACGAACTTAGCAAGGAGGAGGATTCTGTACGAATAATGATGGATAGTGAGAGTAAGTTGACAAATTTAGTATATTATACAAAACTTTATGGATAAGATGGTTATGAATCGTTACCAAACGGTTACAACTTACGCCCGGTTAATAAGTAGTTTCGTTGTTCGTAGCTCAATTAAAAATTGTCGCATAGGGCAATCGTTGCCATGCCAATCATGGAATTGTGCGACGAACGGAGAAGCATATTTGAAGCCAGGGTCATTGTGAATTTAAGATTATGAGATTATGTAATTCATATATGGATTCATTACCGTTTAGTGGTAATAATTGTTGAGTTCTTAGGTACCAGATAAAAGTATAATGTAAACTGGTAAATTATTAAAGCGTTGTCAGTTTTTAATTGTTATTTTACGTAATATTCAATCAATGTCAGTCAGCCAATGTTAATATTTACATATTTTTTAAATATGCACCCTTAGAAAAGGAGCACCATCCACACGCTCAAATTTGGGATGATTTTGTCACCTCTGTGACCCCAACCCAGCGCCATTTAATCCTCCACAAAACAAACTTCCCCTACACCATGCCCCGCTTCGTTTTCGAAAAGTTCTTAAAAACCTCGCCGAACTTTGATTTTCTTAACGCAATTAATGACACATAATATGGATCCCAAGATATTCCAAGAAACGAGCTCCCGTATCAATTCACCGCGAAGGTTATGAAGAATAATCCCAACCCGATTTGGACCATTGTATCCTTAACGATCAGAAACGTAAATCTTTCCGATGAATGGATGATTCACGAGTTGAAACAGTTCCAACACTTGAGGAAATTATGTCTCAACTTTGACCGTTTGGCGGGAAATGATGACGTTACACTAAATTTGGAGAGTGATTTCGAACATTTGACGGAATTGTGTATTACTCCGGATGAATTGCAAGTAACTACGGAGATGAACGAAGTCCGTCTAAATCTTATAATTCCGGAGGGAAGTAAACTTCAAAAGTTGGAAATTCAAGGATTAATTTTGATGGATTCTTTCTGGGCTGGGATCTCCCAGAGTGTTCCGAAGCTGATAGATTTTACTTATTGTGTAAGTAACTTATTTATGAATTTATTGGGTAGGTAATCATTAGAGCACCCAAAACCGAAAGAATACAAAAAACTGGTTTTAGATTATTCTGATTTATCCAATTTTGATAAAACCTTTTTTCGATTCTGTGCAGAACTTCTTTACACCGGTTTTTAAAACATGCTTCAGTGCACATTAAAAAATGTTTGAAAATATATCTAGCTAAATTTTACATAAAACAAACTAAAATTTAAAATGAAATTGGCAACATCAGAACAATTAATTCTTACCCCAACTATAACAATTCTAAATTTAGCTTGGAAACGGTTTGTGGCACTAAAAATCGATAACTGGTTTCCGAGTTTTACCACAAATTTAAAACGGATTTGTTTTAATAGATCTAGATAATTTCTAGTATTAAACCGGTTTTACAAAATCTGCAAAATGCCATAGTAATCATGTTTTGTTTAAATGTATGTATTTCTTTTTCAGACGACTTATTCGAGCAACGTCACTCTGAAAGTTTTCCTTGGGCTAAAATACTTACAGTCTTTGACCTTGCGTACTCCTTGCATCTTCGACAATGATGATATTTTGGACCTACTGCGAATTCAGAGGCACTGGTTTCGCCTAAGTTTGTCCAGCGAAGAAGAGACATCCGCCATTGATGAAACCGTACGAAAAATCATTGCTTCATTAAGGAGGGATGAGAAAGATTGGGTAATGTCAAAACGTGACAGTATCGGTTTGGACATGTCTTTTCCGAAATATTTCAAAAGTGAGCATCCAGTGGACGAGGAATTTAAAAATCTAGTTATTGAAGAGACCGAGGATTTGAAGGTGGAATTTTGCAAAATTGGCAACCCGGCTATGTGGCGTCTTAGGGTTTCTTTCTCCCCAAGTGGTGACCAAAAGCGAGGAATAATTCCACCAGAAGGCTGTGCAGCAATCAATGTTAAGCTTCCTATTTGAAAATAGGCTGGTAATTGGAGGGATCTGTAACATTAGATATCTTACTAAGAATAATATGCATTACAGTTTATTTAATTTAAATGCAATATAATCTGGCAGATTAACCGAAGCAATAAATATCTAATATTAGAACAAAAATATGTCTCGATATTGGTAATGTTAATGACTTTGTATAATGATTTTCAACCGAATTTTTTATCATTTTCTGATTATTTGGTGAATTTTTCATCCTGTTTCTGAGTGGTAATCTTGTCATTTCCACTGCATTACTAAACATTAATGCTCGTTATCGCGGACAAGAGTTAAGTATGTACATACGTGTAAAAACACAATGTGTCTTTTAGAAAATTTTTTGTTAATAAGTCCAAAAAATTTATCATTGTTTTCTTATAATGTTTTAATAGGAATATGTCAAATACGCACATAACGCTGTGAAAATTTACTAAGAAAATTACATATATTTACCAGACCTGCTTTAGGGACTAATATGAAAAGCAAGTTTGAATACGTATGTAAATATGTATGCAGTCATATTCAATCCGAACATGTACTATTCTATTAAAACATGTTATGTTTGTCATGTCATGTCATGTTTTACAATTAGTATACCAAAATGTTTGTTATGTACATAAATACATCTGATATGTTGGTCTATGATATATGTACATACACATACATACACGCCTACATACAGTTGCGTAGAATTCGACATTTCTACGAAAATATTTGAAATAATTTATTGCAAATTATTTATCGATCTACATTGATTATCGGTTCCAACACTCAGGACAGATTTTTGAGATGAATAAATTTAGTATAAACGAGAATAAGAAACACACATATGTAAGTAACATTTTACAACTTATTTGAAGAAATATCCCAATTTGGTATACAGTTTGTAGTAAAATTCGGGCAGGCAGTAGCGGCGGAAACGGGGGAAATTGTCCCCACGGTAATTCGGAAAAATCCTATCTTTCCCATGCTCTTCCTCCTACATATCTAACGATGCTAAGGTCCCCATATGTCCCCCAACTTCCTCCGCCGCTGCGGGCGGGACATTTTTATGCGGAGGGGATGAGGAGACGGGAGATGTCCACGAGCGGGAATTCTTGGGCGGGAGGAAAGGAGCGGGTTGTTTTCGGATAACAATAAAACAATGGCCGGTTGCTGTGTGAGGTACATTGGGACTGTGCATAAAGCATGTGATCGAATCGAAGTGGGTTAGAGGTCAAGGCATCCTATCCTTCCAATGTTAATTATGCATGGAGCATTTGCGAGGGGTAGAAGGAAAAATTCTCCGGAAATCGATCGCACGTTTATGTTCTGCCCCATATACGTTTTACATAAAATGGATTTAAATTCACTCTCGCATTGAATGGGGTTGAGTTGCTCTGTTTCTCCTCTTCACACAATATTGCGTAATATTGCGTATCCTTTAGTGCACTCTCATTCTCCTGAGTTATAAACCGGGAATAAATACATACAAATACAGAACGTATGATTTGCCGTAGAATTCACTAAAATAAAAGTATTTCAATATTTATCACATCCACAGTTTAGAAGGAATTTTAATTAAACAACTAATTTATTTTTTCATAAGGTAAGTAAACACAGATGTATTTATTTATTGATTTACTTATGAACGATGCAATAATTAATTTAAAATAGAAATACGAATTGGAAAATGGACTCCAATCTTGTGATTAGCACATTAAAAAAATGAAATTGTTGTTTTAAATTCAATTATACTACTAGATCTACCCGTTAGATCTGAAAATTTTTGTATGTATTAAAGCTCCTGGCTGTCAGTTACAAGTTAACTTCGAACTTATTGTAGGTTAATTTTCTGAACTTACAATTTCTTTACACCAATATTCATAACTTCCGAGTACATTTAAAATTTAATTGATATGCCAAGTACTTTGAATAAGTATCAAAAATATTAAATGAAAAAATTCTAAATACTTACATAAATATAAGGAAATATACAATTCTAAAGAAGTTTCATGACATAAGCCATTAAATGAATCTTTACTCTTATAGCGTAACCTGAATAATGGATAATACTACGGACCAGCCACATTCGTCAAATAAAGGACACTTCAAAGCAAAACAGGATCGAGGTCACGTGAAGCATTATATTCTAGAAAAATACCTCCAGGGTATGTTTGTGTCGAGATGGTTTAATTAATTACAAAAATTAATTCATTGATTCATTAATTAACGACTTCGGTTGATTAATCATTTTAATTAATAACCAGTTAATTAGGGTTGAGTAGGGCTAGTTAATTATATTTATTGAAATTAAAATGCTAAAGTTTCGACTATCCGTATCAAATTAAATACGGTATGAGTTTAACGTAATCGGACTGTTTTGTGAAAACAATATTGGCGAAAATTATTCTCGCCAAAAAAATATTTGATTTAGCGAAATCAAGAAATGTCATATCTCATATTTAGCACACGGCTTTGTAAGTAGAACACAATGTCACATTTTGCAAAAATGACCATTAAATGAGCATACATGTTACGTATGTATGAGAAGTAATGAGCAAGTAAATGACTAATGAAAAATTTGCAATTTGGTTATCTCATGTATGTAAGTCTTACATATATTGGATCAATCTACATAAGTTCGGAATATAAGCCTTGATTTTTTCCAATTTTAATTATTCACGAAATAAGTAATTGATTTTAATTTTGCGGTATTTGACGTGAATAAACGAAAAATTTATATCATGCTCAATTTATTAGTGTACGAGCTCTGTGTCTCGTTATAATCAAATATAAAACATTATGCACATTTTAACGATCCTTTGCTAGAGACAATCACATAATTGCAAACTTCTTTATATAACTTGAAGCTGGATTTATATAGCAGCATAAGAGTTTAATCAAATTAAGATTAGTACTAAATATATTTTGTTCCGTTTCCGTTACAAAATATTGGCCAGGGACGTTGGTCATAATTTGCAAATTATGATGAGGGGCCGTCCATAAATTACGTAACGCAAAAATCGCGATTTTCTAGACCCCCCCCCTACCCCCCTTTAACATGTGTAACATAGGCACATATCATTGGAGCCTTAGACCCCCCTCCCCCCCTCTTGCGTTACGTAATTTATGGACGGCGCCTGAGATTAATTAACGTCAATAAATTATATCACGCAAAGATATCGACTTTTTACACTCCTTTCCCGTTGTTACCCGTTGCACCCCTTTTTATTTTGTGACGCAAATCAAATGAAATATGTTCTTTTGCCTTCCCAACATTTTAATTCAGGGTTGTGATTTTTAAAACATCTATATTTGCAGCTTGGCTACCGAAGATGTCACATGGAGAGTATAGACTGTATCAAAAAATTCTATACGTCGACGGATTTGCTGGAACCGGAGAATTCGAAAAGTCTGGGGAGGATGGTTCACCTGCAGTTGCTTTGAAAGCAGTATTAGGCCATAGTCACGGAGAAAAACTTGTTGTTGATATCCATATGATTTTTATTGAACTAAATCCGAAATCGGCCAAAGCACTGGAGGAAAAGTTGGGAAAAGTGCAATATGATTTCAGAACTCCAGTGAAGCGAAAAAGTACGAAATGATTTGACGAAATCATTAAGAGGTTTTATTATTAAAATGTTTTTTTTTTATTATTTCTTTAATGCAACAGATAAAATTACCTGGGAGGTCATAAATGGCAACTTTGTCGAAGAGATGGACCGTTTGCTTGACAACCCAGAGTTTATTGGTGCACCTATATTCCTTTTCGCTGACCCATTCGGCTATGATGGTAATCAAAACTTCAAAATTTTCTGGTAGAGGAGTTGCCAAGCCGGGTTTCGCTTTTCCATTCAGAATTTCCCACGGCACGTGGGAAAAAATTGTTTTTACCGGCCTAAATCGGAAAATATGCCGGCTCGTGTATTTAGTGAAGGGGAAAGATTACTTTATTAATAATCAATATTATTGGAATTTTCTTCATATTCCTCATTTCCATGACTTTTCCGAAAATTTTGATACAAATGTATGTTAAGTTCTGAAGTTTTTATTGTTTTTCCAAATTTTCCATTCATGTTAATTTTAAAGATTATTCGAATTGAACAGTATTACCAACTTATTTTCTAAGAATTTGATGGAAAATACGAATAGCAAGCCTACCTTTTAAAATTTCAAGTTTGAAAGAAATTGCTTCTGATAGCCCGAAACAGTGTTAATTTAGTTTTTCCCAATCGAAACCCTCTTAGCATTGGGTGAATACATACATGGATATGTACATATTCATATGTAAATAAGTGTTTTTCTACTATAGTCGTAATTTGCTATGTAAATAGGTAATAGGTGTTTACCAAACTGGTAATGTTATCACAAATATTAAAAGCGTGCCAGCATAACAAAGTACCATTCGGTACTACAATGGTGGCGGAGATATACAGGGTGGTTTAAATGTCAGGTTTCGAATCGAGATTTTTATTAATTTTTATCAAAACTTGTGGAACACTGATGACAAAATTCTGAAAATATTGAATTTCAGAGGCAAAATTTCGGTAACTAATGGAGATTTACGAATTTTTCCCATTGAAAAATTTTCCATTGTAACGTGACACTTAAACCACCCTGTATGTAACCAATTACTGGTAATGCTTTGTGATCGGATAATTTATCGGATAGTTTAATTAAGAGTGACTTAACATTAATTACTCATGATAATTGTTTCATTAAACAGGAAAAATTATGCCAATGCGGTTGCTGAACCAAGTACTTGCCCGTCCCAGCTCCGAGGTTTTCCTCAACGTAATGGATGGCTCCGCAAATAGGTTTTTTAATATAGAAAACCGTGAAGATGCAATTACCCAACTTGTCGGGTCAGAAAAGTGGATTGAAGCAGTTCGTGGAGAAGATCTCAATCCGTCTGATCGTATCCTACGTTTTATAACTGTCTACAAACAAAATTTAAATGCCGAGTACAAACTACATTTCGGAATGAGGAGTAAAAAAAATAATCGACACATGTACAACTTAGTTTTCGGTACAAATCATCCCGCTGGGCTGGAAGTGATGAAGAGGGCGATGACCAACGCATCTCAAGATATTGAGTCGTTATACTTCTCAGAGTTTCTAACCTCTCGAGTACCTCAGGTTGACGTTACGACGAAAGAATATAAAATCGTGTGCGCTCGGAATACGTTGAAACGTTTATGGTGGGAATTTTCAGATACAGAAGAACCTCTAAGCGGTTCTGCAATAGCAAATTTTATTTTGAGAGAGACTCCCTACTTTTTCAATTTTAAACGACAATTAGGGAAATTACTCCAAAGTGCAGTGACCATAGGATCTGGAAAATTTGATGAAAGGAGTTTTCGCTTGAGTGAAATTACAGCAGCAGGTTTAATTCAACTGGAAATTCAAGGCCTTCAATTAGAGGAACCTGTCGTTTCAAAGAAAGGCCGCTTATCGGGACCTAAGAAACCCAATGCCAAACAGAAGGTCGGAAGTTTGAACTTTAAAAAGTCTTCCCCTACAGATATTATGAAGGGAAGTCGGGGGTCTAGAGTTAAGACCCCGATTAAAAACCAACATTCAAAGGCATCAACATCCTCTGAAATAACTCCTGATATGACGCTAGTCAAGCTGTGGGGACAACAAAAAGCACGGCAAGAACAGCAGACACATGTTCGAAATCTATCAAATGAAATGCATAAACAAGTGAATAAAGTAGAGACAATTACAGACGATGATTCATCGTCCGAGGATGAAAGTGTTGGCTAGGTCACAGGCTTTACAATTCAATGCATAAAATGTCTTTAATTATATGCAGCATCCAAATATTTCTAGACTTGATTTAAAAGTGAGCTGCATCTAGATTTTCCAAAATCAAATTTACTTAAAAGTTTCAGATCCGTCCAGATTCTTATGAAAAGTTTCATATCCGATCCATCAAATTTGGATGTGTCCATGAATCTTCAAATCTGATTCAGTCGAATCCGATTCACTACAAATTCTCCAGATCAAATCCATCCAAATTTACCAGATTCATCATGAATAACAGATATCCAGCTCAGCTATGCTTTTATCCACGAAAACATATTTGATTCGAGGAATTTTTTAAGTACATTAAAAACTAAATAATAAATGTGTGCTCAATTTATTATACTAAATAAAATTTGTTACCATAGATTTTAGATGTTTCTAGAATTTAACATTTTCTATTTTAGAACCTTTTCAATATTTATATGTACGTGCATTACCCCATTTCTGGTCTCATTGAAACGTCAGCATGAACTTATGCTGTATTAAATAAATTTTTATGTATGACTGGTGTAAATGAAAATTTTGCGATGTTTCTTCATATGAAATAAAATTATACAAAAGCTCATTACATATATGTACTGTACATAATAAGGATGTGTGGATTTTTGTTCATTGTCTCTGCACGAAATTATGTATTAGTTTGACCCAAGCCAGGGTTACATAAGCCGTGAATCCTATTTGTATGAAGTACATTCTAAAAAATCCGGTAACACCGTCATTATCAGATCTGATTAACCGCCCTGGAAATAATTTGCTACCTAGGTGGTGACAAGTGAAACCAGGGTTTTTCTGCGATTTCTGCGTTTTTTTTAAGTTTAGGGACTTATTTGTGCGACTGCTGCGTAGTCAGATTTTTCGATACTTTTTGTGATACATATTTTTTTCACACATACTCTGCGATACACTTTATACTAAGATTTAATAAAGAAACTTGCACATAAGTGAAACCAGGGTGTAAAAAAGTATTATCAGAGTGGTAATAAATTTACTATCTATGTGTGACTGTGTGTATTGGTAAGCAGTTTGTTAAGATGTCGCTAGAGTCACATATATCTAGTCACCGCCGGGTAATTTTACCAGATTTTTTAGAGTGTATGTATGTATGTATGTACGGTGCAAGCCAGAGTCATGTCTAAACCATTAAACTCTTAATTCCCCATGCACGCCGCTGGTCATTCCCCCGATTTGAAAAGTTTACTTGTCCCAGACTTGACGAAAGTGTGGCCCATGCATAAACCAGACTTACTTAAAATGTTAGATAATTGGGTAGAAGTAAAAAAAAAATACCAAATATGTACATACTGAGCCCACTGTAGCTGTACTTAGCGCTTATCTTTTCAACCGCTGGAGATAATGCAAATCTGATAAATGCATTGGATTCCTCATGCGATTTTGCATACATAACACCAATCAATTTGTAACTACTTGCAAAGCACTCCAGCAGGGAAAATATTGAAACGACGTGGGTGGCGATAATTTTTTACTTAAAAAATGGGACGAGAAATGGTGAATTTGAAAAGCGTGACAGGAATAGAACGTGCACTTTAATTTACTCCAACTGACTATAAAAACGTTCATTGGGACCGCATCGACTAAGAACAGTCGAAAAAGAATTTTTTGAAAACCTCTAATGACCACACCCATCATCAAGGAGCTGAAATCTGGAATCCGAAGAAATTCGCGAAATTCCAACGGAAACCGGGCTCACAACTGAAGGTGTCGATTCAAATTATCCAATGAGTGCTCAAATTGAAGCTTAGGCTTAAAGCTTTGAAAATGTGGTACTTGCCACATCCTGACCACCCCTCAAAGGAAAACCAGATTAAATAAATGCAGCAGTCGCCTCAAGCGGTACGCTGAAAAAAAGTGAGCAGGATTCTTTTTACAAATGAGGAGATTCTCACATCGGAAAAATCTTTTAACAAACGAGTTGAACTAGTCTACGCAAAATTGGTCAAAGACATCCCCCGATATAGACAAAAGGTCAGAAAGTCACATTATCCAGGTTTTGTGATGATTTTGGCAGGTGGGAGCTAATTGTAGTGATTCCTCTGCATTTTGTTGAAAATGGGGGGAAGGTGGGGGGATCAAATTTCTTAAAATATGTTTTCGAGCCCGCAGTGTATCCCCTAAGCTAGATCCAATTCAATGGAATCGATGAGACCTCTCAGCAGGACTCAGCACGAGCTAGTATTGCAAAAAACGACATAAGCGGGACTAAAAAAACAAATTCCGGACTTTATCTCCAATTAGAAATGGTCATTCTCCTTTCTGGATTTGAATAGCCAGAATATGAAATGTGGTCAAAGTTTGGGGCAAAGGTGTGTTCTAAGCTTCGTAGAAGTGTGAAGGCTTAGAAAAAATTTTTCACCTCGGAACGGAACAAATTATCCACAGATTCAGTGCGTGCTTGAGTCGAGTACTCGAGGCGGTGTCTTCAGCGCATCGTTAGTGCGGGGGCAGGAAATTTCCAAAACTAAAAACTGTTTTCTAATCAGAAATTAACTGGCTTTCGACTAAGATTTACTAAAATACCGTAACGCGAAAACTGTTGAAGCTATAGCGCTTCATTTAAGGTACAGTTTCAGTGGGCCACCCTGTATGTAAATAACTAAATATATATGTAAATGATTTCAGATGTGATGCATTCCTGACATTTGTATTTGTGTGCATAAATATAAAAAATGATATAATTTTGCGAAAAAATATTTATTTTCTTTACTATTCTAAAAAATAATGGTTCACCACTAGGCAAACAATTACTTCAAAAATTACAATAAATAAACTGGTGTGCTTGAGTGTCCCACCACTGTTGTCAAATTATTCCATTTTTTCCGGCTTTCATTGCCTAAAGAAAACAAAAAAAGAGAGATGAGACAAGTAAGACGAAACTATTTTTCTGTCGCATTTAACAGTTCGAAGTAAGATTCAGCGTTTCTTTTAATAAAAATTGCAAAATAAAAAAAAACATTGTCAGTGTAGCAAAACTTTGTAAAGTTTGAAATTTCTGACATTTTTTGCAAATTTACCAGGTATTAAAAAAATATTTTCCTTACTTCTTCCGAAAATATGCGACCAAACTTCCACAAATTACAGTAAAATTCAGAGTTTCTTCCCTCGTATTCGTACGGGACTTTGGTATCAAGCATGAGTCGGGCTTCCTCCATGGCTCTGTCGGGCAGACGTGGCGTGGGTCTGAGGAGGCAGCCGGGGACATCGGGCGTGTTGTTGATTCTGACCAGTCTGTAGCGTGGGACGGGGTGAAGGTCACAAACATATTGGATCGGCTGGAGGCGGACCCATGCCTCGGTTTTGTTACAGTCTTCCCCACAGACGTTGATGACCATGCCACCCCCCGCGTACAGAGCCCAGTGCTTGTACAAACCCCGATCGAATTCTAGAAGGTCCGCGGGTTTGGCGAGCTTGATGAGTTCGGCGTGATGTAAGAATCCGGTTTGGCGAATCTCACTGATTTCTGGGAAAGAAAAATGAGAACTCAATTTTAGAGATGTTTCGATGTGGTGCAAATTTTGTAATCCTGTAAACTGAGCAAGTTTTGGGACTAAGGAAATTTCGGATAGTGTAAAAATAAATATTCCGGATATTCACGTCACTTAAAAAAATCGCTTCGCAACTCATCTTCACAACTTTGTTGTGTTTACGAAATCTGTAGCGTGAACGACATACATATGAAAATACAGAAACTGAAGATGAGAGGAGAGGAGAAATAAATATTCATTTGACAACGAATTTGCGAAAAATAGAAACGAAACGAACGACGAAACTGGGTTCCTTTTCGCGTCGCATTTTTTGAGAAAAAAATAAGGCGATCGATTGGTTGTCGCATCGTAATTATTCGTAAATGTCGTAAAGTTGAGAAGAAATGGTTATGAAGCCACGTTTACGATGCTTACGAAGTTGACGTGAATACTCCCATTCTTTCAGTTTCAATATGGTTCCTGAAAATTTTCACTACTAGAGATTCGTTACAGCTTATAAAGTTACGAAAATTTGCGCGGATTTTGTAACAATGTAAACCGAGGCCACTTTGCAAACTTTGACTTCTATGAAATACAAAGTGCCGAAAATTTTCTACTAAATGCCACAGAGATTTTGTATATGAAAAATTTGCTAAAGTTTGTGAAGTTGGGGAAAATTTTGGGAACAGAGATTAAAGGTTGTACATACTTCTTTCTGGTTGAGACATTGTTGAAATTAAAATTTATGTATAATTATGAAGTTTTCACAGGTTTATGAAATTATGATCTTAAAATAAATGAATAGGTGGTAAAGGAATATTTAGTGCGAATATATTTTTTTGGGAGTACAGCCTTTCTTGTGTCGTGGCTGTGGATGAATTAAGCGGATAAAATAATGATACCACGAGAGTTAAAAGGTGGTAAAAATAATCCAACACTTTTACGCTCTTTGTAATCCAATAGTTGCATGGAAAATTAATGGGGTGGAACACCTAGCAACAGGGTTCCGTTGGTGCATGGACGTAAAATATTTTTGGGGCATAGACGACAAGTACGTTTAGTTCGTGACGTATATTTCTGGTGCATTTACGTATTCCATGAAACGAAGGATTTTACAAAATAAAATCACACATTAATTATTATTCCATTTATTTACAATGAGGGTATTCATTACTACTTCACATTGTTAGCATCGTCCGTAAAAAAAATTTACTTGCAAATTCATTTGCGAACTTGCTCATTTCCAAGGCTAGTACATATGTAAGTATTTAATTTGCAAAATATTTGCTAAAATATGTTGCAATGCGGATGTGTGAACTCCAATCATAATTAATACCCTCCTTGTAGGTGGAAATGATGAACATGCAACAATTTAAAATCTGTGAAAACTGCACGATTTTGTAAACCAAAAATTATAGTAGAAACTTGCATATATTGTATACGAGATAACTCCTAATTGCAAAATTAATTCGTAGAAATAGCGAATTTGTGTAGTTCTGTCCACATGAAAATATCTTCTACGAATAATGGTGAAGTCGTGTCTTCTGTGTGAGAATATACACATATACACATAGTCAAATTTCGTAATTTTTCCCACCCCTGCGACACCCTGAGTGGGAATGTGTCTCATAAAAATGTCCATTACACGGCTCCTCAACCTCCCATTTAAATAGTTTATTGTATTCTAAATGTTGTTTCATTTCGTACAATTGTACATATTCACGTATGTCTGTCTTTATTTATACGTATGCAGATATGTACATACATAAGTTCATTATCTACGCTGTAGTTGAAGTCGAAAATAGACGGAGAAGAGCGTCTGGTATTTATTAAGGTGCTAGCAATGCCACCGGGGGAGACAATCGAGTCGTGAGATTTATGACGTGCCACTCCATAAATATGCTACGACGAGTCCGGAATGCATTCCGAACTCGAATGAAGGAAGGAATGTACATATGTACAATACGAATGTGGAGACAAATTGTGGGACTGCCTAAATTTACGGGATGTGCAAAAAAGACGGTGAAAAAGTATTTGAGTACTTGTCAAAGTCTCGTCTCTAGTAACTACCAGAGTGGACATTTGTATTATCTGTGAGTTTATCACCACGATAATAGATTGTTACCGATTGATAGTATGTACAATGCCTACGAAACTGGTAATGCCAAGGCGGAGTAAAAATTTGTACAACAGCGTTCTTAAACAAATTTGGTATCAGCAGATAACAAATTTACTACGATAAGCAACAAATGTGAAGATGGATACACTCTAAATAAAGTTGAGTAAAATTTGCGATGATACAACTGTTTGTGTAAAATGTACCCGATGAACGTAAAATTTCCTCAAGGTTGAGCAAAAATTCTACAGCGTTGGATAAATTTTAACTTTAATATGACAAACTTTTTACAAAAAAATGAGTCACTGCAGATTTTACTCAACCACCTTAAATTTTAATTAGATTTGTTTAGAGTGTAGTAACCTAACATTACCAACAAATTGAGTTCATAAAAAATCTTCCAAAAGTTTGTGTTCTCATCTTTTTTGTATGACCCCTTCCCATGCCGACTTTGACAATGAAACAAATGTCTAACCCATTTGGCTACTGGGTTGGAATTTTTTGTAACGGAGAAGCTCTTCTTCTTTTATTACCAAGTGCGGCTTCCAACGCGACACAATTAAAGAGTTTTGCTTGCTAAATGTGCATGGATAAACTTTTGTGTGGCGTCATTTGGACGAATGTATGTCAAATGAAAAATTGCAGGTGCTCGTTTTGATTAATGCGGCATACTCTTTGAACCTTTTGACGACAACAGTCGACATAAATTATGCTCGTTATATAAGAAATGGTTTAATTCGGGAGGAAGACTAATAAGGTGCAGAAAAATTGTTGTTATGAAACAAGATAATTTTTGTTTCTGGAAGGTCAGTGGTTTTTACAAATTTTTTTCCGCAGCTTAAAATCTCTGGTCATTTTGAGGACTTTCTCCTATGCCAACCAATTGCAAAATTTGAAACTTTTCTTGCCAAAAATGCATACATTCCTTAATAAAATGTAATGTTGCGTTCCGAGTTTTTTTTAGTTTCTTCGAGCTTTGCTAAAACTAATAAATCCCTCCCCCTGCAAGATGACCGCAACATACTTTTAACGTCACCGAATCAATGGATTTTCTTGCCATATTGACCATACTCATTCAGCATTTGCACACTCAAACGGTCCGTATGTATGCTTTTTATGTATGGCACAATGTCCCCACAGAGCTAGATACATATGGACCTTCTTGCACTTTCACTTGAAATAATATCAAAATACTCTCCTTCTATCTTTACTATTATTATCCGCACAAAGTCTCCACAGTTCCCCACCGCATGTAAAAATACAAATATCCCTCCACGCCTCTCCATTATCAGACAGTAATTTTAAAAACGAATTATGATAATCAATTATTTACATAAATCCTTTTTCAGGATTAATGTAAAGTTATGTTTACCACGAAACAAGTATTTAGGAATTACCCAAATATCTAATCCTTTACAGATTAGGTGCCGGATTAAGATCAAATTTCAACGAATTTTTACTCAATTCAATTCTATTAAACTTTATTTAAAAGAATTTCTCTTCAACGTCTTCAACCAGTCTACATAAGGTTACATCACTTGATGGTAAGGGGCATAAGTGTACCTTGCGCCAGTCCAAAAAATTTGAAAAAAATACCATCAGACGCAGAAAACCAAATTCTAAACACCGGAGGATGCATTTCCCTGAGATCGACTCCTCCCCCCCACAGGGTCGATGCGAAGTTCCGAGATGTGTGATTCCATGTATTCTGCAAAGCGAGAGAGAAGGATGAGACTAGGAGAATACTCCTGCTCGAAATTCTCCTCCGAGCGTGAGGGTAAGCCTTAATTATGCCTTCAATCATTTGTAATCATCAGAATTATGTGAGATATGTAGCACGTTAATTCTCTGGATTAAAGCTGAGTCATGGCATCTGACCCATTGGCCTATAAAAGTGAACTGCTCTGTAGTAATTTTTTACTGCAGCAGAGTCCATAAACATGAAGAAGAAAACAATGCTAAAAATTCCTGGGATATATAAAATCATGTCAAAATTTTACATCATTATTCTCGCGGTTGTTACCACGGTCCACTGTACGACTAAAATTACACTGTGGGAAGAGCCAAAATACGGAGGTTGGTCTACTTAACTTTTTCTTGTATGGAAGTTTTGAGTTTAATTTTTTTTTGTGTCTCAACTTTCCCTTTTTTATGCATTCAAATGGCGATTTTTGAAACCTGTTTATTTCCACGAGTTAATTTTACTTATACAATTTTGATAGCACAAAACATTAGTCGAATGTCGAATGAAGTAGTTCTATACACATATACCGTAAAACCTCTATTTATAGCCCTATTCTAATTATAGCCGGTCTCCAAATATAGCCGGGTCTAGAGACCAAGATTTCGAAACTTTAGCCGGGTCTCTAATTATAGCCGGGTCTCTAATTTTGGCCTGTCTTGTCCGCTGTGTCCCCGTTCATAGCCCATTTAAGAAAAATGTTGAACATTATGCTAATCAGCGAATGAGTTGAACTACTAATTTTTACCTATTAATTTCAAATTAATAATGACAGAAAATGTAAAAAAAACTGCTAAACCTCGTTTAAAGATGTAGATTTTAAGTGAATTGGTTACTGATGCTATATCTTGCTAAATAAAAAAACTGTAACACTGTAACACTGTAAGAATCTTGTAACATCTAAAAATGTCTAAAATTTTGGGCGGACCAAAATTTAGCCGGGTCTCTAATTATAGCCGGTCTCTAATTGTAGCCGGGTCCGTGACCCCCAGTTTTGGATTTTAGCCCCGGCTATAAATAGAGTATTTACGGTATTCTAGTTTCCGTTTAATAGAAACATGAACCAGTTTGTTACGTAGGAATATCTTACTCAAAAGTTTTCTTCGTTTCTATCGGTGTTAACCTGTTCTTGTGAGGAAATATGTAGATTCGAAATGAAATGAAGTTCGTTTCTAATTTTATTAAATAATCAATGCGTCACTGGCAGATATTATACGCAGTACCGACTTTTAAATTGCAGCCATATTCAACCGTTATTGTGTAGTGTTGCCAGTTAATAACTTACCATCTACATAAATAGGTAAGAAATTCTCACTAAGAATTAGAGCAAATTGCGACTTTTATAATACCATGTACATCTGCGCAGACAAGGTACTCTATGTAACCTTAATAATATCTGTCAGAGTTTTTAGCTTTTACTTAGATACATACGCTAACCCGTCCGTTTATTGGAATACATTCCTAATTACAAAAACCTATCATTATTCACAACCCTATTTTATCGTCTTAATTACTTTTACATCCTTAATCTTAACCAAAGCCACAAAGCGATTAATATGACATGATAACCACAAATGCCAAAAATTATATAAGCTGTTACTCATATGAACAAACATGCATTTTGACACAGTTTCAAGACCATTAAACAAATTTAAACGCTCGCACTAAGATTCTATTCTTAGACTGTCGATGACGATAATATGTAGCACTACGTAACTTGGGGATTTAATTATATCCATATTAATTCCAGTATACAAATAACATACATACATAAGACCCAAAATAGTTCAGTTAAAGCCTTGCTACTTAACCAATTCACGGTGTACATACTTATGTACAAACATAAGTCGTGGCATTAGTGACAAGCTTAGGAAAGCATACATACATAGATACGTATTTTAAATAAATTACAATTAATAATCTGATTGCTTCAACTTTTTCTGATCCAACCAAATAAAGTTCATCATCCTTCTATTTCATATTCTCGTGTTGAAAATAAATTTCATTCTCCATTCCAATCCCACACTTCGCTAAAA